AATTTTAAAAAAAAAAATTATTTATAAATTATTATTATTATTATTATTAATTAAAAACAGGTTTTTTTTCGTACAAAGCAATTTAATACAAACTATTTCTATAAGTAATTAATAAGTAAAAAAAAAAAAAAAACAAAAGAAAAGGTAAATTTTATAATTTGTTCAGGTAAATAATTAAACAAAAAAAAAATAAAATTGTGACATTAAATCCTAACTACTACCATTACTAATAATAATAATAATAATAATAATAATAATAATAATAATAATAATAATAATAAATTACAATAAAAAAAAAGGAGTTTGAAAAGATCTATATTAATAATTTAATTTAATTAAAAAAAAAAAAAATCTTTTAAATAATTAATAATAATAATAATGACTAAAATATATTTTTTTTAAATGTCTAAAACTATTTATTTTTAAATTTTATCCATATTTATTTATTAATTTATTTATTTAAAATGGGATCTATTTATTTTTTCTGTTTAATTAAAAATAATAAATTCAAACTCCTTATCAGGAAAACTAATAATATAATATAATACAAAATAAACTGAGAAAAAAAAAAAAAAAAAAAAAAAAAAAAAAACTTAACTAAAGTAAAATTAAAAAAAAAAGAAAAAAATTAAAAAATTTTTAATAATGATAATTAAAACTAAAAAAAAGAGAGAGAGAGAGAGAGAGAGAGAGAAAACACCCCAATCGCAAGTTAATGATGAATGTATGTTTATAAGTGTATACACGCGCCCACGCACACACGCACGTGCACGTGCATATATAAACAAATACAATCAGTCTCGTGATTGATTACTTTTACACAAATTTAATACAAGAAAAAAAAATGCATAAGAAAATCAAGTTTCTCTTAATAATAATAATAATAATAATAATTTTTCCTAATAAAAAAAACTCAAACAGGTATTATTAAAAATAAGAAAATGAAATAATAATGATAGCCCAATTAAAAAAAAAAAAAAAAAATTAAATTAGAAAATGTCGTTGTTGTCGTCGAATGTAGAGGAACACGTTAAAGTACAAAATAAAATAAATTTCAACCAAATTTGAAATCTATTTACTTTAAAATGAGAAAGAGGATGACGTTTTGACGATGAAAAAAAAAAAAAAAAAAAAAAATTATTATTGATAGTTTTTGTTCTCGTATTGCTCACATGCTGAGATAACCTGTATTTTGAGAACGTTTTCGACCGATAAGATACGCCACCAAAACAATTAAAACTAATATGGCCAAAGCGCATCCGACAGCAATGGGAACAATGTCTGGCGTATCGAATATTTCACAATCGTCGGCTAAAAAAAAATCAAACAATTAGTCATTTTTTTTTTTTTTTTTTTTTAATACAACAAATAAAAAAGTAAATCAACGTAACTCACCTGCACCAAATTCTTCTTTTGTTTTATTCATGTAAGCTTCCAATTGAGTGTTTTTCAACGTTAGAACGGCACCGTGTAAAGAATTGGAAGACGTCAAATTAACTTTTTGAATTTTATCACATTTGTATGACATATCTAAAGGAGTGTTGAATTCTTGTTCTTCACTTTTAAATTGTATTATATCATCGTCTGCATCTAAAAAGAAAAACAAATAATAATAATAATAATAGTAGCAGTAAAATTAAAGAGAATATAATAAAGGTTAATACGTACTAAAAGTCCTCTTACATTAATTAATATTTAGTATATTATAATAATAAATGAAATTTAACTTACTAGAATTATTTCTTAATACGCTGGCATTGACATTTAATTCTAAACCACTGACAAAAAAATCTTTAGCAGTTTTATTAACTCCGAAATTAATTTGCAAAGAATGACCAGGGCCCCAAGTGATGTTCACCGATTGTGATGTTTCCTTACAGGTGCCGGTAGCATTAGCATCTTTAGGCACGTTCATGGTGGCGTTCAATATCTTAAAAAAAAAGAAAAAAAGATTAATTGGAATATAAGAAACGATGGAGATTTTTCAAAAATCACCCTAATCACTACTAATAATTTCACTTACGTTATTATCATCTGGGTAAGTTACATTCAATTGCATAGCCATTTGTGCTATTATGCAAATTGTATTGGTTGTTGGATTTCGTATGATCCATTTTCCCATATCGGGAGATTTAAGAGCGGAAAGGACTCCCCCGATATTTCCCGGTAACCTCTCTGAACGATGATCTTTTTCGGTTGAGGGAGTAGATTGAGTGGGTAAGGGTTTAATCGTTGTGAGTACCGGGGAACTCGTTGAGACAAATGTTTTAAAGGAATTATTATTTATTGGTATTTGTGAATCGTTATGTTTTAATGACATGTCGTCGGGCGAGTCGTTGAGAAATCTTTCAGGTACAGTTATGTTTAAAGATTCTCCCGAAACTTTTGATTTTTCATCTTCTTTTTGTGAAGTTGTTGAAGGAGTAGAAACCGTTGATAAATTCTTGTCTTGTTTAACTATAATTGTATCGTTTTTGACATTTTCAGCGAGAACTAAAAACAAAGAAATAAATAAAAATATCACAATTTTTTTTCTCTATAATTACAACTTCAAATATCCATCAAATACGAATAATAAAACCGAATTGAAATCTCCTTGACCGTTGTACACGAGTTATAATTGTACCTTTTTAAGTTAGTATTTCGTGTAAAAGAATTAAATATTGAATTAATATAAACAATAATTAAAAAAAAATATATAAAGAGCAAAAAAAAAATTTATTGGACGCCAAATACATATTTTTTTTACGGCACGTTTTAAATAAAATTAACATTAAATATTTTAAAAAAAAAAAAAAAAAAAGAAGATAAATTCAATGTGATATCAAAGAAATGTTTTGTTTGTGCAATCTGAAACGAAAGCAACAACATTGCACACTCGCATTATCTGGTATAATATAGATGAGTAAAATTTAAATATAAATTTCATGTATCATTTTATATTGAACCTTTGCCTAAAAAAAAAAAAAAAAAATATTTTTTTCATATCACACTTGTTGTAATTCAAAAATCAAACGTTATCTTATTGAAATTTTAATTCGACGAATTTAATGCGTTTATATATGTATGTATGTATAGAATATTCAATGAACTTATAAGATTTAGTTTTTACAAGATGGATACAGTTTCTTAATACAGATCGACGATACTCGTGTACAAAGTCAAACGTTTCAATTTTGCATATTATTATTTTTTTTTTTTTGAGTAATAAAAATTTAAATAAATTTTGCTACCAAAAAAAAAAACTTTTTTTTTTTTTTTTTTTTTTTTTTTACAATAAATTTTTAAGGCATATAGGTACATCAATTTAAATATATATATTTTTTTCTTACTATCAAAACCCGCATAAGTTATAATTATTATCATTATTTGTTTTTAAATGAAAACATGTTAAACAGAATGATCCACATTTAAAATAGAAAATATCGATTTTAAGTACAAAAATAGCTTAACACACACACACACACACATTATTTATAATTTAATTTTTCTCTTTTTCCTTTTTTTTTTAATGGAATGCGAAATTACTAAAGAAAATTATTGCGTTATACTGAAAATCAATAAATTATTTTTTTAAAATTATTATATCATTATTAAAAAAATAATTTTTTATTATAAAAATTGAGTTCTTTGTATACTTAAATTATTTTAATTTTTTTTCACCCATTTTTTTTTTTTTTTTAAAGTAAATGTTTCAAATTTGTTAAATATTCTAATCGACTTAAAAATTAATAGATACAAACATAAACA